CCTAATTTCCCCTCATGCACGATGTAGTCTGTGCTCAGCCCCTTGCCTTAGTTTTCCTACTTGCTGACTTTTGGGGCTGTCTCTCAGTTTGGTATCAGAATGATTTATCACAACACATACTTCTGCATTTTTCAAAGTGCATATGCTGCTAATGAAAATGTCAGTTCTGGGCTGTGGGTGTTGTTTTTTATCAATTAGCTGTGGACATTTGTGTCAGTGGGGTTTTCTGAAGCAAGTTTCTTCAGTGTATCTAGGTTGATAGTAGTCATCTTAGATGAGGAAGTACTTCTTGCCTGTGACAGCTGATGGACGTGTTCTGTCACTGCCATTCTGATGATCTTTTATAGGTTTAGAAGTATTTGCTGGTATAGAAAATACCCCTTATTCCTGTGTAGCAGATTAAAGGTGTTTAGATCAGGATGCTGATTTTTACGTGTAACATCAAGGTTAGAAGCCTTGCAGGTGCTGTGATGATTATGGGGCTTTTTGAAATATTCCTTCAATAATTTGTGAATTAAAGTACTTTGCAAAATTCTTTGGGTGCAAACAAAACAAAACTACATCAGCTCAATAGATAATTATTGAGTAGAGTGAAGGCAGAGCAGTGTATTTGAGAAGCAGGAAAATGAGTGGGAAAATTCCTTCCATACTTTCCAGCTTTGGCACTGGCAAGAAGACGGAGTCAGGAGATCATCTGTCATGCACAGGTTGAATGTTCTGGCTGGAAGACTTATGGTTCCTGTTGAAATTGGTAGACAAGTTACCCAGTGGTTTTGGAGGCAGTTAAACTGTATAATTAAAATGTAATTGAAATTATGTAGTGGTTTTTCTTACCCATGCTGTTACTAGTTTTCCTTGCCCATCCTGTCAGCCTGTCCTGGTCCCTGTTACATGGTGAGCAGAATAGGCTGAGTGATGCTTCTTCAAAGAAAGGAGAGGGATATGACTTGGAACTGTCAAATTCCATGGCAGATTTGGAGGACAAATTCAATTAAAAGGGAGGAGGCAAAAAAACATTTGAAGAAAATGTGGTGGAAATGTCAGCACACTTGTAGATCACTAGCTATTTAAATGGAATAGGCCAAGATTTTGTAACTTGCTCATTTATAGTAGCTTATTGCAGTTTTCTCCTTCACTCTTCCTGCCTGTCTTTACTAAGGTAAAGGGTTCACAGCTGCTAACACTGCACAGTTTACTTCATGGTATGCAGAATATGGTTATTGTCTTTGCTAGAAAAAAAAGAGACTTTGCTTTTCCACCCCTAATTGTAGATATGGCCAAGCCCAGGGGATTTTATCATGGTTAGAAAGTAGCCGTGTTCCTTCAGATAGAGGTTTAGCTTCTCAGGACTGCCTGGTCAGCAGGATTTTTCCTATTCAGCCTTGAATGTTGATCATCTCTTTGCATGTTCAAAAATTGTCAGCATACAGAGTATGGCAATTATGTAAAAGTAAAAAATTATCAGAACCCCGTGCAAGGCAGGCAAAGCCCATCAGCACACTCAAAAACAGATGAGAGAAAGAAGCAAGGGTTGTTCTGATGGAAGCCATAGGGAAAATTCGAAATTGGAGGGTGTATGGAGAACATTGCCCTACAGAACACTGGAAGGTGAGAGCAAGAAGTATGAATGTGATTCAGAAGGCAATAGGGCTTCCTTTGAAGTTGGGAAAATTTGCCAGACTTTGTACAAGGTCTGTTTAAATAAAGACTGTCTGCAAGACTGGATGTAATATTTGGTTATTAAATAAAAGGGCATCTGCTCTCATAAAAGCCACCCTGTTTTGTTCATGTGTGTTATTGGCTATTTTCCTACTTTGTACAGACTTTCTATAGAATAAGCTCGTGGCAGCCTGACAAATGGAGCATTTATTGTGGCTAAAAGTACTGTAAACAAAACCAAAATAGCAAGTTTTATTGGCTTTTATAATACATTACAATTTCTTAAATTGGCAGCGGTGTAGTGGAATTTAGTATTTTAGGACCGAAATGTTGTTATCTGCAAACAGTGGACTTCATTTTCCAGTTCTTTTTTCTATTACACACAGCGCTGTTTTTTCTATTTGTTGCCCACGCCCATGTGTTGTCAAAACAGATTCTAATAAGAAACATTTACAGACTCAGTTGCTCCTTCACGTGCAGCTCCACACAAATGCATTGCCTGCATTTGTTCTCATCTGTTTAGAAAAGTAATTAGTTGCCTTTGAATTTGAAGGAAATCATGATTCGAGTCTGCTTCTCATATTGTCTTGTTATGAGCTGAAGCATATGGAACCGTCATTATAGCTGAAACAAGATAAACTCTCCAAGGTAACAAAGAAACCTCCTTGAAATGCCTATGAAAATTAAATATCTGTCTTTTATACAGTGATTTGATCCAGCAATCATTATTCAAATAGAAATTCCACTGAAGTCCAGAGGAATTTTGCTGGAGTAAAAGAGTTTATGATTAAATTCTGTTGGAGTCAGCAGTGGTGTTGAACCTGGTCCCAGCAGGTACGAGGCTCAGTCCTTTACGCCGTTCTCTTGTCTGCTGTGAGTCAGGAGAGTTTCACTGTTTTCCCAGCTGAGCTTATTTGTAGTGGTGAAGAAGAGGTGAATTTCAAAATATGAAGTGGAGGTATTGCTGTCAGCCAGGTGAGCACCGGCAGTGACACAGAGTGTTTGGTGACTGATGATAAGAATGCCAATAATTGAGTTAAATTAATTTTAAAAATAAATATTGCTTTCTTCCACACAGCAAAAACTTTAGAATTTGTGTCTTGATATTGTCCTAAAACAAGTTAACAAGTGCCATACACCAGTTTAAAGTTTTGGTAGTTCCTAAGTAAGAACATAAGAAAATTCAGCAGTCTTATCAGAGATACAGTATTAAATGTTTAGGACCTGTGAGGAGAGGGAAAGAGGGGAAAAGGGAATGTTTTGTTACAGTGTAGGCCGAGCTATTAAATTTTAAATGTCAAAAAGTGAGGTCCTCTCTGCCTACTAAGCCTCTTGAAACACTCACGAGCCTTATTTGTAGTTATGTGTATGTTTAGTGTCTGTCTAAGGAATCGTGGGAGCACTTTCTCAGTTTCAGGGTGATTTCTGGTTCGAGCTTTTATCTGCACAGGCAGGATCTCTCTGAGCAAGGGCTTGCCCATTATGGCTGGGTATTTTTGTATTTTTTTTTTAAGAAAAGATGTGAACAGATTTTCTTTTAAATAAGAGTTTTAAAGAAAGTATGCTGTCTTGTCTTCCCATTTCTGCAGTGTTATATAGCACACAAAAAACTTACTTGTGGTTCTGTTGTGTTTCCTGTAACGAGTCTATGGGTGACTTAAAGTGTTTCTGGAATCAGTTACCAAAGAAGTGAAACGTTATTAACTAAAAGGAAAAACGATCCATCTTCTTCAGACGCATATTTCAGGTTTTGCATTTCATTTAAAATACATAAATGCAGTTACCTCACAACAGAAGAAAAACTTTCTTCCTAAAGGTTTAATTATCCTCCTACTGGTTCAGACTTCTGGGTCTGCTGGTCTGCATTCATGTTGTTCAGTGCCAGGACAGAGGAGGTCTGATATATCTTAATTATTCTGGTTCAATATGAAACATAAAATCTTGTGAACGTCACAAAGCCACAAAAAACCCACTTAATACTCTCCTTTTGTCATTTCTTTAGTGTGAAGTATTTTCTCAACTCAAATAACAGTATCTCTGCCTGAAAATTTGATTTCAGCTGTCCCCTTTAAAAATATTTATGAAATCTGAAAGGAAATTGAGGGTTATTTTTCTCCTTTCCTGACCTTGTTTTCTATATTTGACAGGATTGAATAATGTATGAATAACTCTGCAATCAGTTTTGCATCTGTACCGATAGGCAATTTAATTTCTTGGTCTCCAATTCAAAAGTTGCTTCCTCGTGGTGATGAGCTGCTCTGTTAATCTGTGTGCATGCAATTCTCCTGGCAGTGGGTTTAGAGCATTCCTTTGGAGCTGCTGGATCTGAAATATGCCCTTGTGCTCCTTTTGAAATAGGGAAGGGCTGTTGGTGATGGTTGTGGAGAAGGGACCATCTGGGTCATTCATTTGGGTGAAGCTGTGGAGGGGAGATTGAGCCATAATTCTGCAGATGCTTCCGTGGGACAATGGAGCACAATAGGGAATGAATAAGACACTTGGATAATGATAAAGCTTTAGTTGGACCTGGCAAGGAAGCACACTTGGCTTTTTGAAGCAGCTGATCACACCTTTGATCTCTTTTCAAGGAGTGGGGATTTACATCACGGTTCCAAAGCCTGTGGAAATATTTCTGAAGTTAATCCTGCTGGTGACCTGCAAAGGAAAGGATGGCTGTAGGTGCACCTCTGTGCTCGCAGTTCTGCACCTCATGCTCCTGGAGTTGCTGTCAGCATCCAGAGGGATGCAGTTGCAGAACTGAAATGGTAGTTGGCTGTTCAGAGGTCTCAGGCATTTTTGTGCTGGTGCAGTTGACAGGAATCTTAACCAGAGGCTAGAAGGAAGAGATAGAGGGGAAAATGTTTGCTGGTGTATAAAACTGAGCAAAACCAAAGGAGAAAAGGTTACCAGATGAGGTAGTTGCCACATAATATACATTAATATACATCACTGCTAAATATAGAACACTTGAACACTATCAAGTGTTGCTTTAAACAGCATAATAAAATGTATCTGTATTTATCATTAACATTAGGTACAAATTCTCCTTCATAAGCAGATGTGAGCCCATTAGCTTTGATGAAGGTTAGTAAGCTTCCAGAGGTGGTGTTGGATTTCAAAACAGGTGAACACTAAAGAGCTCCCTACTTGCTTAGTTATTTTCTCCTCAAAACCAAATGTAAACAAAGAAGCCTTTCAGTGCAGGAATAATTGAATCTTTGATACAGGATTTGGGTTTTCATATTTCAAGTTGTACTGACCCAATGCATTAACCCACTAACCAGAGTTTATCGAGTAGCCTCCAGAAAACACAACTGAATTTGCTCTTTTTCTCCTTTAAGGTGGTTTCCCCTGGAGTCCAGACAAGGGAAGAGAACTAAAGACAGAGGAGAAATAAAGGTCAATATTCAGTTTATGAGGAATAACATGACAGCAAGTATGTTTGATTTGTCAATGAAGGACAAAACCAAATCCCCTTTTGCTAAGCTAAAAGACAAAATGAAGGGCCGAAAAAACGACGGGACGTTTTCGGATACATCCTCTGCAATCATCCCAAGCACTCACATACCTGATGCAAACGTAGAGGTGTGCAGTGGTGAAGTACAGATGAAATCCAAACCAAAAAAACCTTTCCTTTTGGGACCTCAGAGGTTGTCCTCAGCCCATTCGATGTCAGATTTGACGGGACCACACGTCTCCTCGGAGAAGATGAAATCCGGCACCGTCGGCTACTCCCACCTCTTCAGGCGCCAGCTGGAGTCCTTTGGGTCGGTTGATGAAGGTGGTAAGTAAAACTCATGACCATTACAATCACAGTTCCCTGCTGTTAGAGCATTCAAAATCTGTTTCTTCAGTTTATGATGTAATTACAAGACCAAAAAGTAAATAAATATTGCTGAGCTGGTTTTTTTTTTACTTCCTTTAGTTGGTGGTACCTCGTCATTCCTATTTCTGAGCATAAGAAATAACTTATTTTGGTGAAAATATATGATAATTTAGGGGGGGGGTTTCTTATGTTCTCATTTGAGAGTATATTGTAGTGAAGCATTGCATTCTAGAGGGGACTGTAGGCAAAATAGCACCTTGTGAGAAATAAGTTTAATTAAAAAAGTTGAAAGCTATCACCGATCTTTAAGCGTGATTTATACAAAGAACTGAAAATACTTTGCTGTGTTCCAAGTTATTATGCAGCAATAGACTGCTGTCTCTTTCTGGAATGGCACAGTAGTCATAGCTGTCTTCTCTGTACAACTTAGTTTTCACACAGGAAACAAAAATTTCCTGTAGTGTCTATCTATAAACATTTCTGAACCACCAAGTCAAGCTGTTAATTTTATTTTTTTTTTTTTTAAACAGCTTAGTTGCTCATCAGAATTTTGAACTGACACTCCATTGCAGAGCTTCTAGATCTAAGCTAAAATGGGTTTTCTGCATGTCATAAACTGTGATATTGTGTCTATTGATAACATACTAATGACAGATTGTTTGCAGGGAGTCTAAAATCTCCACACAGAAGGACATTAAGTGTTGATACTTCTAAAATGAACCAGCTTGACAGCACAGTTGATGAAGCTGCACTTGAAGCACAAAATGACCCATTTACCAACGTGAGTGCTTCGTTACCCCAAAAATTTGCCACACTGCCAAGACAGAGGAACCCGTTTGAAGAGAGCCCAGCCACGTGGGATCAGAACATAACTCTGTTTTCCAAGCCCGTGGAAATCAGGAAAGAACTTAAAAAAGAGAAAAAGGAGAAAGTTAGTCTGTTTGAAAGAGTGACTGGAAAAAAAGATAGCAAGAGGTCAGATAAACTCAGCAATGGGGGATCAGACGGTTCCGCTGACCCGAAATCGCCCGGTGCGTTCGGGGAAGCTCATCAGGAGAGTTTTGATTATGAGCCGACTAATCCGTTTATGACGAACTTCAGGCCCACGAGCATGTTGCCATCTTCAAGGTAGGCTTTTGCTGCATTTCAATCTGATATCTTGAACATGTTATATAAATGAAAATGTGAAGCGTTGAGGAACACCATCTTCGTGCTTCATATACCTTTCTATCATTGCTTGTCTGTTTTCTAAGTAGAAGTTACAAATTTTTTTAATGTAATTTGATATTTTCTTCATTTTGAAGTGACTTTTTTATTACTAATATGTACTGTGAATGATCTTGGGTACTTGCATCTGTGGAAGACCTTGTTTGTGCTTCAGAATGGATTCTTCCTGAAAGTCTTCTGCGTTCTTCGCTGAACACTTACTGCTAATTATTGCATTGCCCTAAGTCAGGCTTTTAGAAAAATTTCAAGCCTAAGGGAAGGATGAAGTGAATTCTGTTTCTGTTTGTGAATGGGGACATGTCCATGGCCACTCACCTCTCTTGAATTCGTTTGGCTCCCTGTGGCTTTGCCGGGTTCTGTGCTGAAGTCATTGCACAAGGCAGCAGTTTGGGGGTTGAGCAGAATGAATTAATTACCAGGGCTGATAAGAAACTTTGGTTTAAATAATCCATTGTAATCTTTGTTTGTCTATCAATGCTTTACTTGTTGCCCTTAAGAAAAAAAAAAGTGTAACCCACAGTTAGATTTCTCTGTGGCTTTTGTTTGCTAGTGAGGAAGGTACACTGTCTGTCTCCCCGTACACCCACCCTCACATATACCATTCCCAATAGATAACTGTTTAAGAAGTTAAATAATTAACTTTTATTCATTTGCATTCAGGGTTTTTTTATTGTTTTATGTATATTAATGTCCTTGTTTTTTTCAAGGTAATGATTAATTTCTATTTAAGGACTTAAATTTGATAGAAAATGCATTTAAAATTAAAGTGCTCCAAACTGGAATCTTAAGACTGGAAAATAAATCACTGTTTTAATGGTAAACATGGTTCTAACAAATTTTCCTTTTCCTGTGTATTAACTCCTTAATTAATTACATGGGAGTAGTTCCTTAAAAAGAAATGAAAAATTGTTTCTTGTTATCTTCTTCTTCAAGATTTTAGAACAGGGTGATCTTATTGTATCTGAACTCAGTTTTAGGATGCATGCACTCCTGATTTAATCCTGGAATCATTTTCTTAACAGAACTAATCATGGATGTGAATTAGATCAATGGACTGAAATGGAACTACTATAGAAAAGATTTGGTTGCTCGAAGCTCCCACAGACTTCAATAAATTATCTTCTTAGTGTCTTCTATGAGTGAAGTCAGTTCCTAGTGTCTTAAATAACATGTTTACAGGCAGTCCTGGAGTACTGTTTATTTAATAAAGGATTTCTCTGGATTAGAGGAAGGTTATGTTGTAGCTTGGTTTGTCAGAAGTTAAACTTCCATTTAAATAAGCTCCTTTAAAGAGAAATAATTTAAATAACAATTAAAACTACATAGCATCTAATTTTTTAAAAATGGAACACTGTATTCAGGCAGATGCTAGATATAAGTAGTGAAATCTTTTGAAGTTCTTGAATGCAGCAGATCTTGATAAATATAAATCTTTAATGGTAATCAAGATGGACTTCTTTTTCTTTATTTTGTAATTGAAAAGCTCATCACAGTGCCCATTCAGAAGGACTGTAGTCATTTGTTTCCCTCTTTGTATGAGAGTCTCTTTTACTAGTTCTTGACTTTTATGTAAACATAAACTTTTGATAAAAAAAAATAGATTTATTTTATTTTCAAAAAGAAAAAATAAAATAAACATTTTGACCTTAAAAGACAGCTCTTATGGAATAGTATCTAGCATGCAATAAGTTCAGTTAGAAGCTCTTGATTTTTATGTGCTCCATTATTATGTTCTGTGCAAACCTTTTAGACTTAGTTTACTTTCTTTCAAATGTGTCTTGTACAATTATTTTCTTTTGAAGTAGAAACTAATACAAAATGTGCATATTTAATAAGTTTACAGTTTGAGTTTACCTTTTATCTGTGGAGGATTTGTCGAAGAGAGTCCCGTTTTTAATTTTTTGAACTAGTGCTACTGTAAGAAAGAAGTGTATGAATCTGTGGGCACAGAATAAATGAGGTTGGGTAAGGAATTCACCACGCAGAAAGCAGGGACAGGGAGTTTAGGCACCGAGTTGGTTGTTATTTACTCTACATGCTCTTAAGCTCTTTTGGATGGATACCATTTCTGCAGCAAATCAGGCAGGGTATTTTTATGAAGGTGTGTCCCAAACCAGTGTTCTGCTGTGGTGAGGTGGATCTCCCAGTTAACCCCACTTAGCTAAGCCTTGGTTTGAGTGATGGAGCAGTCCTGGGGATGTGAACTGGTTCCTGTCTGATGGAATTCAGCTCAAGGTGTATCCCGGGCTCAACTCCATCCTCATTAATTGTGGTTGGTCATGTTGACTGAGCAGTAACTGTGGAGAACAGAACTGCTGGGTGGGTGAGCTGCAGAACAGAGCTGCTGCACAGCCCTTCACCCAGCCCATCCTTCGTGCTGGCTGGCTGTGTGACTGCTCTGCCTCTAATTATTCTGATTTATTCATGAGAAGAATGAAGATTGGTACGTCTTCCACAAGACTCTCAGCTGATGATACAGAAAATGTAGAAGTGGTTCAGCAACAGTTACAGGATTTATTTTTTTCTAAAAGCAAGTATTATTTGAAAACCATTGTTTATTTTTGTTACTATTATTTATTATTTTCGTTTCAAGAAGGTTTAAGAAGTATTTTGGAAAAGCAAAGCAAAAGCTGCTTGGTTTGTATATAATACTAGTTATCAGGAAATCACAAAATATGGAACCCTAATTTCTATTAATCTCTCACCTGGCAAAGGCTTTTTCTTAGTCTTTGGCTTGACCACTTAAATCTGTAAAATGGGGGTGATATTTTGTTACCTCCTGCAAATGCTGAGTGGATAAATTAGTATTTTTTCCCATTTCTATAGATATTGTATTGCAGTATTAGATAAGTGTTAAGGTTGGAGGGTTTATTGTTGTGTGTAGGCGTAATACAGATATTTATGAGCTGACTTCCTGACAATTTTAAAATGTAGGAGTTTCACAGTGAAACAAAAAATGCTATTTTAGCAACTATTACAAAATCTGCTAGTTCCAGAGGTTTTATATCATGAAGAATTCTTAAGCAAATAGTATCTCTAGTGTTCTTCAGGCCAGCATTTACCAAGGATAGCTTTATCTTCCTACTTCTTAATCCACTGCTTTGAAACTTTGACCTAATATTGCCTTAAATTGAATGCACTCTTACAATCACTGCCATTGTCATGGCTCTCAAGAGGTTAATTTGCAGTCAGAAGCCACGTGGATTTTGCATTGAACACAGTTAAAGAAACTGAGGTCCTCCTGGAAAACAAAGATTGTTTTGTGCCATGACCAAACCTTGTGCATCGTTTTTCTGAAATTGTTTTTGTTTAGGACAACACATGACACACACTACAGGCTAATAAACTGATGTGAAAATTTCTCAATTTACACCACTTGACAAGTGCTAAAAGAAAAGCATCTTTAATTTTAATGTGTTATTAGGACCTTTTTAGAGAGACTGAACAAGTTATTAACAAGGTCCTGTGAGACAGGAGACGGGTAATTAACAAGAGCTACAGAAAGGGAGTTTAGGTAATTACCGAGATCTTACGCACTGGACACAGGGACACAAACAGTCCAATATTTAAAGCTGACAGGTTGTTACTCATCTGATCCAACTCCAGATCTGGGAAACGGAACTGAAAGGTGCTTGGGAGCTTTCCACTAAACATTGTATATAATGTTATATAGAATTATGTACATAAAATACGTCCACATTCACAAACCGGGTAAGCGTGTGTCTGTGTATACGTATATGTGTATGCACTTACAGGGAGAGGCATTAAAAAAAAACCTTTTAAAATATTACTTTGTTAAACTTCAGAGAAAAGATAAAGCTTGTGCCTGCATACCAGTTACATATTATCTCAAGTTCTGACAATAGGTATGCTACATTCTAACCAGTGTGGAAGATGGAATAGCAGAGGAGAAAGAAATGTGTGTCTTACTGGGATTCAGTGTAACAATTATGAACAATGCTCATATTTGTAGTAGTCACTCGTCAATTGGCGCATAAATTATAAAAATATTACTTGGGGTTTTTTCTGTGTTTTCTTACTGCTTGAGCGTTTTTTAAAATTTGCAGCTCAAAGAGAAGAGAACCAGCAACCCAACCCTTAAACTCTTTTGCATCCTTCTGCTTTGTCATTTCTGGAGTTTGGTTATTTTCTGCAGCCTCTCTGCCCTGTACTCTCCTCACACGTGGCTGGTAGAGCTGCCTGCCTCTCCAGTGTCAGCTGTTCCAAACAGTTTCAATGTCGCTGCACTGCGATAAGTTCATTATTAGATTTGCTAAGAAACGAATGAGGTGCCATGAAAACATGAGGCTCTTGATAAGAGCGTAGTGTTTGGATCATGGTAAGTTTGAAGAGCAGCTGATGCCTGCTCCATTCCCACAGACATTCACATCCTGTGTGTGGTGGTCAGCCAGCTGAGGAAGCTTGGCCAGCTCGTGGTGTTGCCCTGCCCAGGTCCCGGCGTGTGGGTTGTGCTGTGTTAGCAGAGCAGGTGCCTGTCCCCAGTCAGCTGCAGCTGTGCAGTAAAACCTGTTCCCTTAAACCACACTGAAGGTAAGTTATTAGTGCAGTAGCTCCACCATCATCAAAGATAAGTGACTGTTGAATGGTTTCAATCCTGTACAGTTTCTGGCCACAGCTCCACTGGAACAACCCCCAAAAGCTGCCTGACCAGAGCAAAGGGTTGTAATGGCTGTATATTTATTTGCCAAATGGGTCATCCAGTGTACAGTACAGTTCACTAGTTCTAATTTTCACATGCCTTTTTCAGAAATGTTCTTCTCTAACAAGTTTATTACTGTGCTTGCTGGAGTAATAAAGTCTGTTCTGACATTTTGGCATATTTATGTCTCTGTTGGTCAAGAAACGACATCAGGTGATTTATGCTATTTTCAGAATTTGGTTTCCTCTGTAGGTGTTAGCATGCCTTATTTTAAGAATAATGCACCTCTGCATTGCTTTTCTTGAAATGAATGTATTTTTTCAGTTCTCAACTGAAATTTGACTAGACTTTAGTCAGTGTGATCTCTAGTCAAGGTAGAATATATGGACCATGCCAGTGCTTTACCTCTACTGTAGACTGGTAATATTTGTTAATTCAGTGTGGTAAAGCTGTCAGTAGAGTGTTATTTCAACAGCTGGTACATGAGAGGTAAAGGGATATTACAAAGCAAGCAGAAGTCATGCAGGGATTCTCAGTCTGTCCTGCCAGGTCTGTCACCATCTGATTTAGAGAGATCCCTGCGTGGGATGAGAGAATAGTGAAATCTTCTGCAGAGCTCCTACAAAGCAATGGTCACAGCATTTGGGGCGTTACTAAGGGGGTTGGAGCAATCAGTTCTTACAGAAATATTGTAGAAATACTTACTATTAATCTTGACTTTTCAGAGGCTTCACCAGAAATCACTCCTAATTGGTTGACTGTTTTAGGAGTACTCACAGGAAAGTTCATCCTGCTGGCTGCATGACAAGATGTTTTCAAGCTTTTACTGTCTGTTGGTGCCCATTAGGGCACATGAAATCTTTTTAGAGAGCATGCACGAGGCACATTATGTTTCCCAAGGGAAAATGCATGGTCTGTTCTATCTTATTTTAAAAAAGAATAATCTAACAGTTATATCCAGTTTCTTTATAAATATGTGCAAAAGCTATGTAAACATGAGGAACAATTTTTTATTCTGTTTTGTTGTAAGAGCTAAAAATGAGTTCTATTTTTTTAATCACTCAAAAATGGTTCTGGAAGTTTCAGCATAAAATTTTACTTTAGGATTGTTTGGTTTTTTTGTGGGTTTTCGTTTGGTTGACTTACATATCTCCAATAATAGGGTCTTCTAGTGGAGATGCTGGCACAACTTTTAGTATGACAGTTCTTTGGTGGTCTCTAGAGAATAAAACTTGTGTCTTACAAGCAGAGTTCAGGCTTTTTGGTCCATTTTCTTCACTCTTGGCATCAGGCTTAAAAATAATATTAAGAAAACTGAGTGATAGCAACAAAACCTGATACTCTTCTTGTGTCCCCCAAGGACACAAGCTCCAAAAGGCCGTGGAACATGGCTTGACAGCAGAACAGTTTATGTGGTGAGGTGTCTTAAGTGATGTTCCCCAGGATCTAATTGCAGAAGAAGTGGTAATATGCTTATTCTGTACTTACTTAGCTGCCAGACATGACAGTCATTCCATCTCAGAATATGAAGTGAGGTCTGCAGTGCCAGGCACAGCAGGCCAACAATATTCTGTGGAAGGCTAAGTTTCTGAATTTCATTAACTGTAGCTGATTTTATTCGTTTCTTTCGGGTTTGGTTGGTTTGGTTTTTTTCTAGTGCATTGGTAATAACTTAAATGGCATCCTAATAATTTAGGGTTTTGATATATGTTGTGAGAATCCAAAGAAAAATGCATAAGCACTGTAGCAAGAATCAGTCCAAAGACCAAGAAGTAAGAATAGGAACATATTTCAACTCTAGTGGAAAATTAATATGGTAGAGCTTTGTTAATTACCTGTGTGCAGACATTCCATATTAAAGGAAAAAACTGAAACAGCAGCTTATTGGTATTATGGGTATTTCACAGAATATTCACACAGATTTCAATGCTTTGAATAGTGATGATTAATGTAAATATCCTAATTTTAATTTCTAATAGTATACAGTGCAGTGATCACAAAACTAATACGAATAGCAAAAGATAAGTAAAAAGCTTTTGCTCCTTAAGAAAATACACTTTCCATGGAGCATAATTTAGGAGTCTGATTCCCATTCATTATGTTGTCAGAGTAAATGATTCAGGCACTAAAATGTTTAAATCAGTTATAGGAAAGATTTCATAAAGATTGTTTTAATCTCCAGGCATTCAGAAGCTAAATATTTAAGCAGCCACTAGACCTAATGTTTGAATTTTCAACTACCATTAAACTTCAAAAGGCAAAATTACAAGCTGCACTCATAAACTTGAACTTGTGATACATCCCAAACTCAACTCCACAGAGTTGCAGTTTCTGTACAAACTGTAAGTTATCAACATGCAGTGTAAGTCTTTAACTACCATCAAAAATAGGTGTTGTTAAAAAAAGTAAATTTCCATGTAATTCTAGTGAAATGTATTTAAATAGGGAAAATAGCAAGAAAGTATAAAACAATATTCTTGCTATGGTTATGAAAGAGTAATCCAAAACACTCTGCAGAATCAGCACTGCAGTATGTCTGTCTCCATTATTAGCTTATACTATTTTTATCTCTCATTGCTTTCAACCCTCAGGAACATGGTGATAGGAAAGGGTTCTCATCTCAGATGGGCTAAAATTGACATCCAAGCTAATAAAACCCTAGAAATTCAAACAAACTTTACTGTTCGGGGAAAAAATGTAAAGAAAAAGTTATATCCAAAGCAATAAAATAATGGATATGATTTAATCTGGTAAAAATATATGTTTTAAAATAACTTTCGGAAAGGAATTAAGGAAATTAGTTGAATTCCTAGATGAGTGAGATGGAACTAATTGCTGTGCTAGACTGGAGAAGTCTCTTCTACCTATAGTGGGGTAAGCCAGTGTGGATGTTGGGTGGCTTGCTTGGTCACTGTCACTTCCATGATCCTACTGCAGCTGATTTGTAACCTGTGCCGGCGTGATTTACATCCCTTTTTGTACTTCCTAATTGTCTTGAGGGTGATCCAAGTGAAAGAAGGTTTATTACTTGCAAGAGACAAACTGTTAGAAATCGTTCTGGGACCTGGGCCATCACCTTGAGGCGCGTGAGACTCCCCGGTGGTGGAGAGGGGGAGTTCATGGCTGGGTCTGGGGAGGTGGAGGAGGTGGAAAATTCCCTGATTCCCTGATGAGGGCTACAGGAGGATGAGCCAGGGAAACCCAGGCTGACTGGAGTTCTCAGAGTGAGCTGGCAGAAGGGCCATTTCTTAGGAAAGAAACATTATTTAACTTGTAAACCGGGCAAATTTAGTTTGGGCATAATTGAGAAAAAATAATTACAGAATCCCACAATGCTAGATTTTTACAATCACTGCTCACAGTAAGCTGCACTCAAAAAACCTCCAAAAAACAAAACGATACCGTTTCCCAAGCTGTGAACATATGAACTTCTTCCACAGCAGAAGTTCCCTGCCAGTTTATCACCCCCTGGGGAAGAAAAAAATGGGACTATAACCAGTACTATCACTATGAACTAGGGCTGTAACACAGGGAAAAACAGCGTTATTTTTTATAATTGCTTAGATCAGTGATTTCAGAATGCTCTTAGGAAGTCAAGATAATGGCTGCTTGGAGGAGGCTTGTGATGGTGGTACAGCATGTGGGCTGTAGTCCTACAGGCATGTTTTCTGTAATTATTGCCAGTAATCAAGTGAGAATGGTAACTTCAGGGGTGTGTTATTAGGATGAAATTTAAATTAAAAAATAAATGCTCTCATTAATTTCAGTGCACCAAACAGACAACTCCCCTGACTTTAACGCACTCGTAATTTTACAGTATTTTCTTTTGGGGGGACAGTGAAATATGGGTGCAGAGGGGGGAGTCTGCATCTGCTCACGCTCACCTCGGGCAGGGAGCACTGGCAGGAAACCCCACAGGGCTCAGCGGGGCCAGCGAGCTCCCACCTTACTTAACAGACACTTTGATTTAAAAAAACGTTCTGTGCAATCTCAGCACCTGTTCCTTCCTTGAGAAGCACTATATTTTCCACATATCTCTTTAAAATATGAGTAAGAGTATTCATGGGGTTTGGGGTTTTTATTGGGGAATATTTTAATAGTTTTTCATTTTTTGCAAGTGTATTCAAATTTCTTCATGTAAAATACGCAGATGTGCTCTCTTGGAACTGCAGTTGTGATGTCCACAATGTTACAGAAACGATTGCAGGTTTTTTACTGCTTTAAAAAAAAAAAAAAAAATTTAGTCCATATTGCCAGTGATTTATATTTGTAATTTTCCAACAGAAACTTTTCATAGTCAGAACCAGTGCTTTCCTTTCAAGCTGCTGCTGTGCAAAAGTGTCTTAGGACTTATTTCACAGAAACTATAAAGTCATTCAAGGCAAGGAAAGATCTTGCTGTTTTGACCTTTCAGAAAGTCACTCAGTTGAGCAGCCAGGCCGGATTATTCTCTATCTTGTCTAACACGAGGAAACAGCCCCGAAAGAAAGATATCCCAAAGGAAGGCCACCCTTGGTTAAACAGAGCCATTCTTGGTGTTCAGCAGGCTCATTCACGGCAGGTCAGTTCACTGGCTGCTTTGTGCCGGGATCACCCAGGCAGCCCCAGAGAGGGGAGTTCATCCCCTGTGTGACAGTGAAAAAGAGTGTACAGAATAAAAGAAAGGTAAAAAAAAAAAAAATTAACTCATAATATAAACAAAAATTCTTCACGGAAAAAAATCATGGTTTATATTTTACATCATTTCCAATTGTAAATTTATGTCCCTTCCACTTTTACACCATGAAATACATGGCTTATAAATTCGGATAACAAAGAGCGATGAGCAGTCACAAAATTCATGTTCTGTACTTTAACCTAGCTTTAAAATTTGTTTTTAAAAAGTCTGGATGTATTTTTGTAGCTCTCAGTCAATAAATATCACCCTCACAGCCAGCACATGCAGTCTAAAGAAATGATATCTATATATCTAATTCAGTACTGTCTTCTAGTAGGTGTTTTGGTCAAATAAGTGTGCACTGCTAATATTTGTTTGTTTTGGTTTTTTTCCTACAGTTTTCATATGAATCCTTCTGGCATTGAGGATCTCAGGAAAAAATCGGTGAGTTATGCAATGTTATGGAAAACCATCAGTAAATGCCAACTGGTGTTTGACACAATATAGCCTTATATTCTTTTTTAACTTCCTGTAAGGAAATGCTGGGATTTTTTTTTCTTTTTCTTCTGACATACCCAGAAAATCTAATTAGAAAATCACAGGCTTAATGCAGATTTGGGAATAAAGAAGAATTTTACACTCAATACACAGTTTACCTGTGATGTGAGGATGAGGCAGGAAAAATTTAGATCTTTGCACAAAAAGTAGGAAAAAGAAGAACCAAACTGTTCCTTTGGGGGTGTTTTAGATGACTAACCTAGAGAAGTAATGGTCAGGTGAGGAACTCTGTGTTAGGCAGTGGTGTGTTAATTGACCAAACAGGAATTTGCTGTTACTTTGATCAGAGACTTGAGGACAGTCTGTAGACAGCAAATCAAAATGGAAATAATGAACTGATATATCACAGGATTAATAATACACATAATAAATGAACAGCCTCTCAGAAAACACTGAAAAATAGAAATACTAAAAGATATTATTCAAAATGCTCTTCATTCTCAAAGTACCAAGAATAAATTGTGTGCGAAGAAAAGACAAAAAAAAAATCCGAGGCGGCGTCTTTGTTTGAAGGAAAATGTGGTCTTACTAGGGTTTGTTCTGTGCATAGATGAAATCTTTATAAGTGGGTTTGTTTTCAGTATTTAAAATATATAGAAAACAAGGTTCACAAGCAAATATGGCTTTGTACTGTTTGTTTTTCGCTGGTTTATGTAAATGATTTGTAATAACAATTGATGTTATTGTAAATGCCCAAGTTTTTATAATGTGAGTTACTGGTGGGAGATGTCAGAGTATTTGAAGGCTGCCTTTGATCAGATAGTAAACTGAATTCTACCAGGCAGTTACTTAATCTCTGACAAAAAGCAACATCAAAAAAACTGATTTAACTTAGCAGCCATTGTCTGTAAAGTAACCATAATTACACTTTCTATGTGCTTGCAAATGTACCACTGCAAATCATGTAATTTATTGCTGGTAAAAGCATCAGTTTAATTCTTTTAAGAAATAAGATGTGAATTGTTTTATTTAAAGGATTTAAAGGTGATAAAAGAAATCCTTGATGATTTTTCCTTTGGAACACCAGCTATCCTAAATGTCAGTTGCAGGATTATGAGGTGGTGCTCATTTAGTACAAAATACAAATTAGGGGGGGAAGAAACTACATCTCAACCCTAGTTTTGAATGAAACCATTTGGTTTTTTAAAAATATTCAAGATTGCTTTCTAAGGCATTTGAAGTAATTTATTATTAGGTTCTGCAATAATAGCCCTCACCAAGTTATTATTTTTCTTCCTTGTGCATATTATTTAGTAATTATGTTTGTATGTCTTCCACTCTGATGCCAACACCTGTCTCTGAAAGCAGTGTTTAAATGGGAGCAGTAGCCAGTTGAAAGGGCAGCTGAGCTCTTTAAGGCCTAATTAAGAACTGAAAGGAAGATGAAGCAAGCAGGACAAAAGATGTGAAAGTAGCTTAGATGATATTCCCAGAGCAGAATTCCTCATTAGAACAATGAAGAGATGATCAGAGATTGCCAGGCCTTCATTTTATCTCGTGCCGTTTCCTCTGCCTGTCAGTGTGTACCCCAGGAGCACTTTGTGGATGAGACAATAACTTGCATATCTTGTTCTTCAGAATCCTTTTTTTTCTTAATAATTCATTATAAGATTAATGTTTTGCATTAAAATTGGGTTTTTGTAAGGACATAGGTGTTCCTTATACATTTAAATATAATCTATTGGCTCAAATTGAACATTTAAAACCTTCTTAATTTTAACAATAATTTATTTCTAAGTACTACTGTACTTTAAATAGAATTTTCTTGCATAATTAATGTGATAAATTATTCCCACCAAAAGATGCACATGGAGAAGGAATATGATAAAACATCTTTAAAACATATGTATTACACAGACTTGAATAGGATATGGCTTTAGTATGCTCTGTGCTTCTTAGCTGTGCAAGATTATATTTTTTAATGCATGCTTCTACTGTAAATAAAAGCTGCCTTGTGTTCTTCTGCCCCGTTAGAGGTGCAGGGCTTTTTAGGTTCCATGTCTTCTGAATGTTTTCATCTATTCCTGGATGAGACAAAACTTGCAGCTTAGCATGTCTAGCAGTGCTAATACATGTATAAACCAGCTCTCACAGTCTTTTCTAGTTATACATTTCAAAATTTTTCATTGTCTGGTTACTTAAGGCCACAGCTAATTCTTGACACAGAAAAAGACATTCAAGTTTATAGTGGTTTGGATCACATGTTGCCCTTTGTTAAGAGGACTAACTTGTCCATCTCTGTTAATACCTGCACTTACTGAGTCATCAGAAATCATTACAGAAATAATGTTCCCTGCTGCTTAATTCTGGGCTCCTCCTGCTTTATAGCAAGCAAGGTCTTTTATAAGCACACATTTCTGGTTTTAGTGCTTGGGTGAAAATAAGATGCAGCCTTTTACCTTTACCTGAAATTTAAAATTGGAAGTTTTATTATGTGATTCAGAAGCCAAGGCCTGGAAAACCACTGATGACTAAAAATAGAATATGAAAGACAGATGAGGACTGATGCCATTTAGAGCTGAGTACACGCTTTGCTGTGATGTGCTCCAAAAGTGAGAATCACGGAAGTTACAGTAGGGCTTGAATTCTCAGGGCTCTTCTCTTGTTCTTCAGTAATAAAGGTTACCACATAGTTGGTTTCCCAAAATGGACCTGCCATTTTTGTGGTTGCTGCTCATATGGTCATTAACTGTGTGTACACCTCACTGAGCAGAGTATTTTTTTCAGAGATGACAGTGTGGGAATTGTACATCAAACTGTGCAACCTGTCTCTGCTCCGGGGTGGGAATTGGAGGGAAAAGATCTAGAGCAAATGGATGTGTGTTGTCTGAAAGAAGTTGCTTCTGTCAAGAGATGCACGTGAGAAACATATGCAAAGCAATAACCCCTCAATTTGCTGAAGTATTTACTAAAATGTGGTGTTTTTTCTGAACTGGCCTGCAGGAAGGAAACCCTTTCGACGCCACTGCTGGATACCGTAACCTTACCTACGAAGAGGTTTTGCAGGAGCTGGTGAAGCATAAAGAGCAACTTAAGAAGAAGGACACCCATATTCGTGAACTTGAGGATTACATTGACAATCTTCTTGTCCGAGTAATGGAGGAAACACCCAGTATTCTCAGAGTGCCATATGAACCTTCTCGGAAAGCGGGAAAATTTTCCAAAAGCTGAGATAGCGGTACTTGATGGTACTTCCTGCTGAATACTTTGGTGGAAGGAAATCACACTTTAATATTTTGACTTCTCTTCATCCTTTTTCTCCTAAGAAATTCCAGGAATCACCTTCCAGGGAGAAGGGACAGTGGCGTAGGGGTTTTCTTTTTTTTTTTTTACTCAAACACTAGCAGGGACTGCCAAAAGTAATACTCTGTTAAATTACCTAAGTAACTTTTTTTTTTCTTTTCGAAAACACCTTTAGGTACAGAATACTTAAAATGGAGTTAATAATACACATTAAATATGTCCTTGCAGTTTATATAATAGCTTAGCGTGCTCCATGTGGCAGTTTCAGCTGGGAAGCCTGTGCTGTTACGGATGTTTTCTTGAATGATTATTGGTGTATCAGTTCTTTTATTACAGCATGCCATCAAGACCACTGTTTTCAAGCCAGTGTAATATTCTACTAAAGCTAAGTGTGGTTTATTGCAATGGAGTGCAGTTCTACACATATTAGAGGGGAACAGTGATGCACAATCTTTGCAGAGTAAATGCTGTATTCTATACAATGTGCTTTTTATATAACAGTGTAAAAGAACCCGTGCCATTTCTGTAATGGCATATGCTGGAACCAGTTATTTTACACTTAAATGCTGAATTTTGTGTATGGTGAGTGAACTTTGGTAGTGAGCTCATGACATAAGGTTGTTCCGAGGATCTTTTTGTATGAAGTTACTGCATGCCTTTTTATGTGTTAAAGTCCTTTGAACAGTGTTAATAGAGTCAGAGGTAGGACTGGAGAGAAGTATGGAATGAAAACATGAATACTTTTGTTCAGTCAAAGTCTACTGCAATGAAAATGTGGCAGAAATGGAGAGGCTGACTTAAATAGACACGATAATTCAAAAAATGTAGAACTGACTCAATGTAAAGTTGAGTTTTACATGATATATGTCTTAACTTTTTAAATCTTATGACAACAAAGTATATGCCTTTAGAAATAGGCCATGTTGCTTAAACACGTATAGAGTACTTAGACTTTTCATTAAAATATCTGTATCCATGTAAATAGTTCTAAAAGTCAGTTTTCATTGAGGCAAATGAAAGAAGAATGTAGTAAAGATCTTCTTGATCATTTAATAATTGTTTATGGAATGACATATGAAAACAGTATCTGTTATCCAATGAATTGGCAAACTACAGTGATGTTTGTGCAATGGGATAATACTGTAGGAGAAGAATCCTCAAAATATCATCATAAGGAGATTTTAATTTCCTTAATAAGAATCTCAGTTGGATTGTCTGTTGCTGTGAAACAGTAAGATAATATTAACAAGTACAGAGAATATTTTAGGTTTGGTTTTAAGAAAGCTGTCTTTTCCTTTTCTTTTTCTTTTCTTGATCCGTTGGTTTTTTTCTTACAGCACCATGAAATGGCTGTTGATGAGGTGGCAGAAAAGCTTGAAATGAAATTCCAATTTTTTGTTGTCGTTGTAAAAGACTTAAATATATGTTCATTTTTAAAACTGCATAAATTGGTAATATCTTGAATAATTTTAAGTGAAGAAGTTGTATCTGAATGCCTTGGACGCCGTTAGTATTGTATGGCAGCACAGAATCATTCCTGTTAGAAAAAAAGCTGCTTTGTACAAATGTTCTCAGATTTCATTTACCTATTTTGGGCTTTTTCTCCTTTATTTCCTTCTTTTATTTAGCAGGTACCTCCCATCCCCCTAGTGCTGTCCCCAGAATGTGTCAGCCTGAGTGTTCCCAGCCCGCCCTGGGATCCCTCAGCGCAGATCCCGGTGCCTGGAGGGGCCTGAGAGATCCCAGCCCTGCCCTGCAGAGCTCTGCACTCCAGGGCTGTGCACAGAACCCCCTCACTCATCACGCTGTGTCCCTCTCAGCCCAAGGATTTATCAAGTTCAGTACCTCATCAACCACTGAATGTTCTTTCTGACCCCCTTCAGCTCTAAATGACTGTAAATTTGTTGTGATGTATTCCAAGTGCCAAAGGTTGTGTACTGGGGTACGGTACATTTACTGGTGGAAGTTAGGTTTTGCACTCAATTAGATTTTAATTTCCTAATTACACCAAGATGTATTTCAGTTACTCAGTATTTCCATAAAAATTCTTAAACATTTTCAAATGTTGGCCGAAGCAAGTGGTTTTCTCATGTTAATGGGGAGTGTTTGTGCAATTGTTTGGAATTCCACAGTCATTTTCAGCTAACTGGTATGAGACCATCTCTAGTATCTACACTGCTTAAATCATAGACACCAGTGGGGATTAACAAGTAAACTAACCAGAGAATATGCTCCAACGACTTTTCACATGCAAGCCAACTTATAATTATTAAAATGAAACTCTACTATATTTAGCACCTCTGAAATCACTTCTTTTAGAATGTAAATGTAGAATATCAAACTGCATAATTGACTAAAAGCAGATCGTTTGACATATTTGCATACCAAGAACGATAAGCAGATTAAAGGTAGCGAAAAGATCAATTTTTGTGCATTAGTGAAGAAATTTAGTGAAGCTTTGAATGTACTATCTAGTCTTTATCTGATCTGTATGTTAAATAAAAGCACCTTTTGTTTCTAACAGTTTGTCAAGAAAGAGGGGAGAATGACAAATGCAATTTAGGAAAAGGTAAAGGTAAAGTTATTTAGGGAGGCAGAATGGGACATTTACAACTATGAAGACATTTTTGTAGGGTTCTTTTAGGTAAAGATATAGGCTGCTTTTGGAGCAGTTCCTGAAAGACTACAGACACGTTTTCTGTTTAGGTTCTATATTTTGAGATCATTTTTGAAAAGCATCTTCACCCCACATGTGTTTTTTGAATCATGCAGCTTTCAAATTAAACCATTTCATGCAGAGTAATTTATATGTTGAAAACAAAGAAAGTTCTGTTTCTCCCATAGAATAAAATTGTAAACTTTCTTGCACATCGTTTTAAAACCATAATAACTTGCTACTTACAGTCAGTTTTTCTTACCCTTTAAAACGTAGGAATGAAAATTTTGAACATCTCCATATTATTTTGATTTTTTCTCTCAAAAATTAGCATAGGAGTTCATCCATGCATGCACTGTACTTTGAAATTATCCTTTGAAACAGCTCTGCTCATAGCCATGTGTTTGCTTACTTTAAAGGACAAATATGAAGGCCATACTTTATTGTTGTAAGCAAGAAATTTAAACTTTTTGCCATTCAAGAAGGATGTTTAATATTTATATATGTTACCTCTTGCTGCTGTATTTTATGTTTAGCTTGGTTTTCCACCTACTAATGAATGTAGCATTCTCCCTAGATCATCCATAACTCCATTTATTGCTGTTGGCTCTGTGTCAAGAACTATTTGTAGTTTTCCAGCTGTGAAAAACGTTGCCTTGCATTTAGAAAGGTTTCATGATTTGGGGACCTAATGAAAATCATGCTGATTAGCTACTAGTCTGCATTTCCTTCTGTAGAGGATGCCCTTTCCTAGATGCATCCTGAAGCAAACAGAACTGCTGTCTTAACGTGTTTACTGCTGCACTGGAGGTTTATTGACACTTCCAGCTTTACAGACAGGTTACTGTCCCGCATCAGCTGTGTAAAGTGAGCTGGTGCTTTCCCCTCTTTCTGTAGCTGTTGCTGCTGTGGGGCTGCTGGAGGCGTTGGCTGGGGCTCCTGCAGGGATGGGGAGCAGCTTGCTCTCTCCCAGGTTCCTGGTGAAGGATCAGAGTGCAGCTTGCTCTCTCCCAGGTTCCTGGTGAAGGATCAGAGTGCAGCTTGCTCTCTCCCAGGTTCTCCGTGAAGGATCAGAGTGCAGCTTGCTCTCTCCCAGGTTCCTGGTGAAGGATCAGAGTGCTGCTTGCTCTCTCCCAGGTTCCTGGTGAAGGATCAGGGTGCTGCTTGCTCTCTCCCAGGTTCCTGGTGAAGGATCAGGGTGCTGCTTGCTCTCTCCCAGGTTCCTGGTGAAGGATCAGAGTGCTGCTGTGTAGAGGATGCTGGATTTGAGGGTCTGTTGGCACTTTGGGTAGGAAACCCTGTTTTCAGGGGTTTGTAACTGAAAAATGTAGATACAGTCACAGGAAGTATTTAATATGCAATGGGCAGCACTTTAATGTGTTTGTGAAGGGTTTTGAGATTTGTTTCCCATGAAGGAATCCCTGAAGCACGGTGGGCATTTGCTGTATCTTTTATAATTTCTATGCTGAAGAAGCCACTGTATGTTACGAGTGGTAGAGCCATTCCTGTTCATCTTAGAAGCTTCCAGGTGTCCTGTATTACAGTGTGCTGTAAAAAGCTGAAGATCCAGGTTATATAGCAAGTCTGTGAAAGATACGAACATTACTTATAACTGAAGGGTTTATTTTGTCTCGTGCAATCAGTGGTAGTTTGTCTACATTTAATAATGGTACAGAATCATAACTATGTGCACTTACGAGAACTATGAACTTAGAATGCATGAAAAACTTTATTTTTGTTTCATTATTGCGAGTTCAGATCCTTTTAATTTGATTAAAATGTTATCTTAATATTTTAATTTTTGTTCATCAAATAAATATCTGCATGTCTAACACTAATAAAGCACCACAATGCACTACCACAGTACTCCTTGAATTGTGATATTAATCTGTGTTATGCCAAGCATGTAACTCCTAAGCTGTGCTGAAGTATGTGTTTGTAAGAGCCATGCTGTTAAGGCTCTCACACCACAGAGAGGAGTGTTTCCTTAAGGACAGCTCCAAATGAGTATCCCAGCTGTTTGCAGGGTAGCCACTAAAAAAATGCCATATTCTTAAACGTACTAATCTGTATTATCTTTTTTCATATTGTGTCTGCAATCCCTTTAAATGCACTATTCCCGTGATTCCCTGGGCGTGTAAGTATTACCCGGACCTCTTTGGCACTGCAGGCTAGAACTGCATTTAGCATGAGGACAAGCACTTCAAATTTTGATATGGAAAACATGACACATTTCTCTTCATACTCGACAGACAAAACCCGGCCAGACTGACGGAAAACTTGAGCCTCCTCCCCACCGCCCTGCCCCACAGGTGTTTTTTTCAATGCGCCCACAAGTTTTTCAACACACTTTTCCCAGAAAAAAAATAGGCTTTTGCCTGTCTTCTTTTCCTCTTCCATGAAGGAGCAAAACAGCAAAGTCTGTCCCCTGACAAAAGCAAGTTTTCTGGATGGGAAAGGAGGTATGGAGAGTAGTCCTGGCTCGGGACGAGAACGCTGTGAGTAGCTCACCCGGTTACTGGGAGCCTTGAATTCCACAGGGATGTGTTCCTTTCCCTGCAGTTACCTTGCTGTGTGAGTAGCTCCTTTGTCATGCAGCTGTGGGCTTGGGGTTTTTCTCTTGGAGGTGTCCATGGCAGTTGTGGTTTCGGGAGATCACAGGCGGTGTCTGAGGTGCAGGTGTCCTTCCACCCGTGTTGTTCCGCAGGTTTCCATCAGCTCTCTCACCCCACGGCTCCCGGGCTTTGCAGCTGTCCTGCTGTGTGAGAGGGGAGCAGTGAGGGCAGAGGAGGAAGGCAGGTTTGTGACAGCACACCGGTTTCCATCCCTAACTCACATCTCAGTCCCTGTGCCCACCTGCAAATGGAGCTGGCACAGTTTCCCTGCCTCAAGGCATAATGTTGGTTAGTTGATACCAACCGTGGTTCTATCAACAGGATAAGAGCCCAGCTTGATTAAATGGCCTCCAGTTTCCCCAGCATGGAGTTGGTTTTTGAGTTTTTATTATTAACCATCCTGACCCCCAATAAAGGTTTTCAAGGGTATTTTAAATACAGGTTAGCTGTTAAAAACTCTTGATATTAGATGTATCATTAAGGACAATTCTCTCTCCAGTTGCATTTATAAAAATATTTTTTTATGAGCCGTAAATATTTACTCTAAAAATCAGGATTTCATTTCTATATTTTAGGTTGTTTAATTTGTTTTTATGGGAGTGTTGTGCAAGTTCTGACTGCAGCTCACTTGGGATACGTTGCCCTTTTGTGTAACACTGGGCATGTTTGCTAAGTTATAAATAATGATGATGAAAAACAAATCCCATCTCTTATTCTGCATTAATGAATTAAATGTTGCCTTATTTCATTGGATTGTTTTGTAATAGTGCCATTTTATGAGAGATGGGAATAAGACTATCTGCTAAAGTAAGCTGTTTTCTCTTGTCTGAACTCCTTATTGAGTAATGACAATAGAAGGCTGAGTACAGCCCAACCTGGAAACTGTGTGGCACTGATTGTGTAATGCTTATATAAATATCAGTATATTCAGTGCTAGAAGCCAGTGGCTATTACATGGGGATTATTGCAGTGTATTTATAATGTGTTTTAACAGCATTTAGTAATGTAGATCAGTCTGATAAATGGATGATGGTTTAGGACAGAAAAGTACCCTCTGTGGCTAAACACTGACATGTTTATACTTTAAAAGTAAGCTGCTTATGAAGGTTTTAGGGGCATGAAACATTTAAATGAAGCTGAATATTAAAAAGGGGGGAAACTTTGTGGGATGTTTTTTTGTTTCAGCCTAAACAGTATCTACTGTGTGACATACAGGGAATGAGTAGAAGCAGCACTGGGGAGATTCCACTGTTGAGAACCAAAAAACCCACCATCAATGAAAAGTTACTGGGTCTAGAAGTCTGGTTTTAGGGGATCTCTTTGCCCAGCATGTGCCAGGTTCATTTTTTAACAGGAGGACTTAACCCAGCATGCTTTACTAGCAAGATCAGTGGTGGGGTGAAACCCCCCCAAAAGGAGGTAGTTCACCAGAAGGGTGAGTTCCCAACGTGTCAGGGATGGGGAGCAGGTGCCAGGCAGAAGCACAAGGCTTCAACCACCTGTCACTTCTGCTTTTGTGGCCCCCTGACATCAGTATTAACTCCAGGGATTAACAAACCACTCTCCTAGCGAAGTCAGGGAGTGTCTGAGGAAATCTGGAGCATGCAGCACGTGGCTGGCCAGATTGCCTCTGCTGTTCCTCGAAGTAGGTGTCGGTCTCAGGAGTCACCAAACTGTGTCACATCCCCTCCTTCCCTGAATCATTCATTTGGGGCCCTCTTAGGCGGTGGATGTCTCCTTCTCCGGTAACTCACTGCGTGCATTATGAATTCCTTGGAAACTGACTCCCTGAGACACCTTTACAGGAGACATCAAGGGTCTCCATTGAAATTTAATGAATATTATGGAATTTGCCAAGGACTCCTACAATGCAGTAAGAAAATCTGCCTCTCTGAGACCAGAGGTTTGCCAAAATAATGGCAGCTTAATGGCATCCTTTAGAAGCAACTGCTGACTCTCAGTCTATGAGTATTTTCCATTTCCTAATAAAATGTTTTCCTATTAAAGCAGCTTAGTTCATTAGCTTATAATTCATAGCTTAAACATGCTTATATTTTGCTAATTGTAGATTACTTAGTGCTTATTTTTAGGGAACACTGAAGCACAAAATACAAAATGTCAGGGTTTTTTTTAAATTAAAAGTCTTGTCTTGTGCATAGCAATTGCATTTGGATAAGCATTTTTAAATATGCTGTTTTTAAGGAGTTTTTACATGCTATTTTAAACTAAATAATTAAACATCTATAACAAGAAACAATTTGAAGTGTTCATGCAATTTATAGCTTTAATTCCTTTATAGATATGTGCTCCAATATTTTATAGTTATGATTCAAAAGCTACCACAGTTACATATTTTAAATTGCAATCATGCGATTCCAAATTATTCTTTTCCAAAGTACACAAAGCCAAAGTATCTGATTCACTCTTTTGTGTTTTGTAAAAGTTAAAAGTGAGCTCTGGGAGAAGTGAGGTTTTCCTAAAAAGTTGTACAAAGCCTTTGTGTTGGACTGCAGTGCAGATAACTTTGGCTGTGCAGCCTCAGGCACTCCTTTATCCAACAGCCTAACATCAAATCTTCCTGATTTCTTTCTAGCTGGGGGACAAGAGAATAGGAATCAGTTTGCAGCAGGTGCTGGGTACTGCTTGTAAGGACCAAGTTAAAAGATGTTGCTGCTTTGTGAGATGTGGTCTTGGCTTTTTGGTTTTTTGTGAAGTATACTGCAAGTGAATACCAGGCTCATGTGTTTCCAGGGTCAGATATAGAAAACGTCCTACTGTCTTATATTTTCACATTAAAAAAACTTGTGTAAATTTTATTGATGGTGGCCAGATTATATCTGGCTACAATACATGTAACATTTCACTTGATTAATGTTGCTGCTGTTTGAGACCCTCATGTAATTGGCCTCATAATCCTCACACAGAATACTGTGAAATAGTGTGAATTTGAAGCTGAAAAACCAGTTAAAGGAACGTCCATCATCAGTGGGGAGAAATAAAATAATCCTAATTAAACCCAAAAGAACTGTGTGATCTGAATTCAGATTCAGCTGGTGGATACCTAATCTGTATTTTTTTCTGGTAAGTATTTTTATTGTAACTGTCCAGTATAATTGCTTTGGAAAAAACCTCCTGCTCTGTGTTTCATGGTCTAAACTTTACTGGCTCTCTCTAAACCAAATCCTGAATTAAGGACTTGGCCTTAACCTTTGTTTCATTGGACGTGACTTCAGAGGGTTTAAGCAGCATTTTACTGCTGGAGCTGATGACGACAGTTCTATTTGCTAACAGGGTCATAGCTATTCTTTTATCTGTTTCAGGGTTTTCCGTGTAGTTTTGAGTTCTGAACATTTCACCACAGTCTATTTAGAGCGTTATTTGAAACTCGTTCCAGTTCCCTTGGTTCTTACGCAGGCCGATGTGTTGAACTGCTCCAGAGACCGGCTGTGCTCTCACCATATTTGGAGGCTGCTCCTCTGCTGGGCTCTGGGGCTGTTTTGGACGGGGCCTTACGCCTAAAGTAACAACTGAAATATGTGATGGGAGCTGACTGCCAAAACCGGCATCAAAGCCAGTTTCTGAAGAGCTCACTGGAAAACTATCCTGAACTTTGGGAGGAGGACTCAAAGCCACACTCCAAACAGAGAAACCACGGCAAGAGGAACGCCGAGGTGAGAACGGATCTCCTGAATGAGCTGTGTGTCCCCCTAAGACCAGACGGTCACTTTGGTCTTTGGGGAAAGGATGACTTTCCAGGTGCAAATCAATCAGAGTGGGTTGGTCAGCATGTTCTGTGTCTCTGCAGACTCACAAACCTTTGCAGTTCCTGTTTGGGCTTATTACCCAGAAGTGTGTTAGTCAAAGAGCATTCAGACTAAAAGGTAACAGTTGTTGATCATGTTGTGTGGGGCATCATTAAGTTGTTTGAAAAGTTGCCAGGTTTGAGGACATGTTCTGTTAAATACACTCAGTGTCTTCCTCATCTCACTTAAAACAATGAGAACATTCAGCCTCGATTCATTAGTTTTGGGCAGTTCACCTGAGTAAAGAGACCACATTTTTCCCTGAATCCTTCAGAGAAATGTGCAGACTTGCAGAAGGCAGCTGCTGTCACTGAGGGGACAGCTGTACTTTGTGGTTGAGTGTGTGTTAAAAAAAAGCTGGCATTGGAGAAAAGAGAGTTCTGTAAGAAACCAAAGCCTCTCTCACACTCACAGTATCTCTCAAGCTCACAAGGTTTTAAGCTGTTCA